CTCTCTCTCTCTCTCTCTCTCTCTCTCTCTCTCTCTCACTAATTTGCAACATCTTTCAGTGTAATGTGTAGTTTGGGAATGGCTGTCGATTTTACTACTTGCTTGGCAAGAACACTGCAGTATTCAATAGTTGAATGACCGTTGATAAAGAGGCAAATATGTTATCTCTTGGAATGACAGATTCCTCGGATGTGTAAGCTTATTAACGAGCTTTAGCTTTGCGCAATGCTCTGAAAGTTTATAAGGCCCGGATTAACGCCCTGTTTTTCCTGGGATCGACACCCAACGAAGTTCACATGGTAGGATTGTACAAGGAATGACTTTCCACGGATTCTCTCCACAGACATCCTCCGTAGGAGTTTGGATTAAGAAAGGGAGGTTGATCCTGCTGGACGAATTCGCGAGTATAATTCTTTCGTGCATGCACCCAGGCTGTAATGTATGAAAAGAATATTGCAAACGTCTATCCAAAGACTAGAATGTAATTAGCTACCATGAGCAAGGCAGAGGTAGATCTGTTTGCGGAATAGATTTTCTTTTCACAGCGCTGTACTGTTGTCTTTCAACTAAAGTACTGAAAAGCTGTGAATGCAGTTGACGTCATGAAGCTTAGCATGCTTTAATAATTTTAACAGCCAATATAGTGATTATGACCGATCGCACTTTTTTAATATTAAGAGCTGAACGAGATTTTTTATGTACAAAATTCTTCTTTCGCCGGTGATCAATTGTTAACTAATTTTTGGCTGTTGTGTCTGAAAACAAAGTAATATAGTACACGGTCACAGATGTTGCTGATCTCGTTAATACTGGGACACCCTGTGCTATATTTTGTTATTAATTAATTATTACATTATCATTTTACGAAAATATAAAACTATGCATTACAAAAACGCGCGTTAATCTTCCCTGCTGCGCGCCGTGTGTTTGTGCGTTTTGCATATTACAGCCATCTTATTTGTAGATCTAAGAAATTCGACCTCTCAAACGGACCCCCATATCTCGGCTAAGATGC